AAAAAAAAAAAAAAAAAAAAAAAAAAGCAAAGAATCACTTTCTATGTTTATCCAAAATAAAATCTATGGGACTATTGGGCTGGTTTCAATGTGTCTGGAGCACCCCTTTCTTCTTGTTGCTAACCATCCCCATCACAGATATCCCTTCTTTGTTACCACGTCAATTGTCAGTCCTCATCTCACTTTATTAATAAAGTGAGATTAATAAAGTGAGGTGATAACACTTGACTGCTCCCTGCTCCTGGAAATACTTTCTGGTTTTCTTCCTCCTTGACTGGTCACTTTTTCTCAATCTCATTAGCTATTTCCTCTTCTCCCCACCTCTAAACCAGTATTTTCCAAACAACAGTCATGCATCACTTAACAACCAGGATACCCTCGGAGAAATGAATTTTTAGGTGATTTTGTTCTTGTGTGAACATCATAGAATGTATTTATGAAAACCTAGACTGTATCACCTACTGCACACCCAGGCTATATGGCATAGCCTATTGCTCCAAAGCTATAAACATGTACAGCAGGTTATGTGGTGAATACTGTAGGTCATTGTAACACAATGCTATTTGTGTATCTAAACATAACATAGGAAGGATACAACATATCCTGTGCACCTGTATAGGGCACTCACTATGATTGGAGCTTGCAAGACTGGAAGTTACTCTGTTACCAAAACACTGTCATCTCCTAGGATAGCAATGCCTGCTTCCAGGGTAACTCCCGAAGGACCTCTCTGAGGCTGTTTTACAGTTAACTTTTTTTCTTGTACGTCTAGGTCCTGCCACTCACAGCACAGGAAGCCAATGACTGAGACCATGATCTCACCGCACAGGAAGCCAATGACTGAGATGATTATTGGGCGATGCAGCCTGGAAGATGGGAGGTCAGTATCAAATCCATCTCCTTGACCCACTGAAGTTAGGAGTTTATATAGCAGGGAAGAAATGTAACAATGTGTGGGAAAATAGGAACTCAGGAGACGTAGGATGGCACTCATGATGCGTGAGAGGCCTGATGTCTCACCGTCTGAATGTAGTGATCTGGTGAGCTTCCCTTCTTTGATACTTTTTTATTTTTTTTGAGATGAAGTTTCACTCTTGTTGCCCAGGCTGGAGTGCAGTGGCACGATCTTGGCTCACTACAATCTCAGCCTCCCCAGGTTCAAGCGATTCTCCTGCCTCAGCCTCCCGAGTAGCTGGGATTATAGGCGCCTGCCACCACGCCCGGCTAATTTTTTGTATTTTTAGTAGAGACGGGGTTTCATCATGTTGACCAGGCTGGTCTCGAACTCCTGACCTCACGTGATCTACTCATCTCGGCCTCACAAAGTGCAGGGATTAGAGGCGTGAGCCACCGTGCCCAGCCTGTTCTTTGATACTTTTGAGAGGCCTGGAGTTCTTTCCTGAGGAAGGAACTCAGACAAAACAAATTTCAGTTTCAAGCTTTAAGACTAGAAGGGACACATTCTATGTTTATCAGAAAAAAAAAAAAAAAAACTTGTCTGTGGGACTATTGGGTTGGTTTCAGCTCTGGGTGTGTCATTGAATGGTGAGTGAATGTGAAGGCCTATGACATTACTATACACTACTGTAGACTTTATAACTGTTGCACACTTAGGCTACATTAAACTTATAAAAAGAATTTCCCCTCAATAAGTTACCTTTTCTGGCCAGGTGTGGTGGCGGGCAGATCACCTATCAGGAGTTCGCGTCCAGCCTGGCCAACATGGGGAAACCCCGTCTCTACTAAAAATACAAAAATTAGCCGGGCATGGTGGCACATGCCTGTAATCCCAGTTACTTCGGAGGCTGTGAGACAGGAGAATCTCTTGAACCTAGGAGGCGAAGGTTGCAGTGAGCCAAGATCGCGCCACTGCACTCCAGCCTGGGCAACAGAGCCACACTCCATCTCAAAATAAAAAAAAAAAAAAGAAGAAGAAAAGAAAAAGCTAAGAACTAAGGCACAAACACACACATTAGCCTAGGCCTATGCAAGGTCAGGGTCTTCAATCTCACTGTCTTCCACCTTCATAGCTTGTCCCAGTGGAAGGTCTTCAAGGGCAGTAACAGGCATGGAGCTGTCATCTCCTGGGATAGAAATGCCTGCTTCTGGGATACCTCCTGAAGGACCTCTCTGAGGCTGTTTTACAGTTAACTTTTTTCTTGTAAGTAGGAGTATACTGAGTATACTCTAAAATATTGATAAACCGTATAGTTTAGTAAGTACTTAAACCAGTAACAGAGTCGTTTATTATCATTAGCAAGTATTATATACTGTAGATAATTGTATTGCTGTACTTTTGTACAACTGACAGTGCAGTAGGCCTGTTTACACCAGCATCCTCACAAGCACAAGTAATTTATTGTGCTAATGGCTACAACGTTACTAGGCAATAGGAATTTTTCAGCTTCATTATAATTGTTTGGAACCACTATCATATATGTGGTCTACCATTGACTGAAATGCTGTTTTGTGGCACACAATTATATGGTAATCAGAATCATCTGAAAGTCTTGTTAAAACACAGTGCTGAACTCCACCCTCATTCAGGTGGTCTGAGGTGGTTCCTGAGAATTTGTGTTTCCACCAACTTCCCAGATGATGCTGAAGCTGCTCATCTGAGAACTAACCAAATGTTGAAATGCCCCAGAGCTCAGGCCTTGGGCCTCTCTTCTGTCAACACTAGGATAGCAGTAACTACTCTTAAATGATCTTGTTCCACCCACATGCTCTAAATACCACCCAAATGTGGTCAGCTTCCA